CACAAAGATAATGGTTTGGCTTGGAGCATGTGGAAAAGGGCTAACCACGCTCGTCGTTCTTAACAAAGGTACAGTAGATCATGTACGGTATATCAGAGAAGTGCTCCCGGTGGCCTTGAAATGTGGAAATAAAATGATGGACAACAACTGGACGTTCCAACAAGATGGAGCCAGTGCTCACAAGGATCACAACACTCAGCAATGGTGTGCTGACAATATGCCTGCATTTGTGCCCCATTATCGATGGCCACCCAATTCGCCCGATTCAAACCCGATGGACTACAGTATCTGGGACGAACTAGTTCAGACAATGAATTGGGATCACGTACGAACAAAAAACACACTGATTGAAGAAATAAAACGGGCTTTTAAAAAAATCCTGGCCCAAAATGTTTTACATTCTGTTGAAAATTTTACTGTATGTCTGCGCCTTATTTTAAAAAACAAAGGAAATTATATTCGTTGAATAAAATACACAGTTTTGTAGGGAAATAAACGACGATTCTTTTCGTAGGAAAATTTCTGTAGATCGAAAGAGAGAGGAGAAAAATTGAAAATAAAAAAGCGGACATTCTTCAAGAAAGTTATAGACTTAGAAATGTGCTTCACAAAAAAGAAAAACTAACGGTAAACCCGATCTTGGTATTTTTGCTTGAACTCCTGTTTCCTAGATCCCCTAGAACAAATTATTTTTTTAATAATAGCGCCATGCAATGCTCTACAAAATCATATCTAAACTTTAATTTCAGAACTTCAGTCAAGAAAACTAAGCAAATTATACGCGAGGCGGAAAAGTGAAAACTTTGTAACTTCAGTATTTTTTTCGAACTTTTTCTTCTCCTATTATTTCCGTAAAAAAGCTTACGAGCTATCCAACTGTCGGACGCCGTTTGACTCCATATTTTGGCTATAAGTAGGACTCAGTGAGACTAAGAAAATCCTAAAAGGGTTCAGCCCATGACTCTTGAAGATCCCGTTTTCTGGAAAACCAGTTTTTCAAGAACTCTAAAAGATAACTAAACCCTTCTTTTAATGAGATATAATTGTAGCCCGCAAATTTCTGATTAAAATGAGACGTCTTCCAGCTCTACACGACCTTTCTTTGCAAAGTTATAGAATTTACAAGAAAAGCCCTAAATGTTTATTGTCAGCTCAAAGCTACAGAAATAAGAAGAAATTAATTTTTTCTTTAATTTTTTATACGCTTTTGCAAACAAAACGTTCAAATCATACATAATTGATATTAAGGTCATTTTTCATCGACAAATATTTTTGAACAAAAACTAGATGGTCGCGATCAACAAAAAATTCTGAAGAAAATTGTCTACTCGGATTTTCTTAAATTTTTTTTCAAATTTCAATGAAACTTCTTCAGTCAGCTATGCTGATTCTGAATATCATAGTTATTTTGCTTGAAAAGTTCACTATGGGGTTTAGAAAAAACCTATGCCTGGTAGGAAACATTTTATGCTTCCATCTTATTAGTAGTCTATCCCGCACTCTAACAATGTAGCATGAACGGTGAAAATGCACTTTTCTTATGTAGGAGTATCCAACGTATCTCGACCATGTGAATGTATACCATGTGCGGAATGTATATAAAATAATAAAGAGCTGGAAGACGTCTCATTTGAATCAGAAATTTGCGGGCTACAATTATATCTCATTAAAAGAAGGGTTTAGTTATCTTTTAGAGTTCTTGAAAAACTGGTTTTCCAGAAAACGGGATCTTCAAAAATCATGGGCTCGAACCCTTTTAGGATTTTCTTAGTCTCACTGAGTCCTACTTATAGCCAAAATATGGAGTCAAACGGCGTCCGACAGTTGGATAGGTTCCCTCGTTAGCAAAAGTGAGAACCCAGTTTACGTTTGCTACTTTCCAATGCACTCTTTCTCGTAGTCTGTAAAGAATTTCTCTCAGAGTAGATGATGTACTCGAGAATGAAGTTTTAAAAATTGAAAACCTCTATTTCCGACAATGTGCCCAACCAAGAAATAGAAAACGTGATCGAAGTTTGATTTTGCACTTAGGTAGAGAAGAGCAATCATTTCTGATCAAAACGGAATAAACCCGATCTAAAAATCTTTTGTTTTGATGGAGTTACGAGACTTTCACTGAAAGTACCACCATACGAAGAGAGTTCATGGTTAAATTTTCTTTTTTGTGAAGCACATTTCTAAGTCTATAACTTTCTTACTATATGAGCTAGCAGGGGCAATCAAAAGCCATTTTGTAGAGCGTGTTTTACTGCGTCTTTTCATCATAGAGAGAAATTTACAAACATGTGTTTTACTTTAGAAAAATTATTATACAAATCGAGTCAGGACTTATGGGCCACCCTGTACTTGGTTTCTTCCAGTTCATGTTCCAAGTCTGTCAGAGAAACATACAATCGCTGCCAGTCGTTTTATGTCTCAACACGTTGCAAAGGGGAAACATCTGTGAGTCGCATAAAAGGTCTGAATTTTTCACGTTTGCAAAAACAATTTGCAGCAATACTTTGTAAATAATTCTGGCGTAGAAATATGAACGAAGGATCAACTGTGCATACCTATGTTAGCATTATTTGCAGTCGATTTTACAACATCAACATTTCTTTCACTATTATCGAAACTCCAAACTTTTCTTCCGGTTGGTTTCACTACTTAAACGTTCATCAATTTTCAGTACATGTTCACAATAAGGTGGACTATTGAACAAGGCCAATGCATCTTGCGTAACAAATGCCAAATTTTTTGTTTTAATCTTCTTCATAGTATTAAAATACATTTGAATATCTTTAATTCCAACATCTTTTAGCATCATCGAGAAATTAATCTCTTAGACTACTGTATTTGGTAATAATTCCAAATAATAAGGTTGATAACTATGTTTATTAGCCAAAACATTTGTTTTTAACGATAATAATTTCATTTTAATTAATACTTCACATGCTTTGTATATGTCAGTCATATCGTGACCGCTTATAGATCGATTCAATAGCGTTCGCGATAGCAACGGTGAATCTATCATCAAAACTTTTCCACATATATCTTTTATTTTTTCACCCAATACACCACGTACTGTAGTAAATGTTGTTCTTTCTTAGTTTGTAGACGATGTGCTAGTTTTGTCACTTAATGGAATATTATTTGATAATGTGGACGTTTGTGGGACAGTAAACGCTCCTGCAATAACTAGAATGACATATAAATAAAAAAAAGCTGATTTTATTGATTGTGGCTCCTAAAACTGATGTGGTTTTTAGACAAACTCTTACAAAAATTGCTCAAATCCCTTTCCACCCAAGAATCTCGCTGCTACTTCTACAATTCAACTGGCTAGCAACATCCATATTTTCAACTACTTCAAGAACGTGTTGTAATAAATTTATTGTATTGCCTTCAATATTTTGTTTTCTTTGGGTACTTGGGATATGATCTGCTATAAAATTCGATACTAGTACATTTATATCTATAAAAGAAGCAAAATATATTATATATATAAATTTATACCATCCAACTTCTCATGCTTGACACTAGTGCCTTATGTATCAACAAACCTCCGGTATAATCATTTATGGATAATCCATTTGTATTGTTCTCATCATTTAATTTACTAACAGCTGATTGATCAACACCATTTACTATTTCTTCCATTTCTGTAAAGCCATCTGTTATAAGTATCTGTGGTGTCATACTTATGTCTAAATAAAAAGGCTCACGTTTTTAATATTTTACACTGGTTTGCTTTTCAGAACTCTTCCTTTCGTGCACATTTGTAAGGCAAACAGTTTTAAAGTCAGCTCAAATTTCTACGATATAAAACTGGCTTTGCTCTGTAGAAAAATAGTAAACATACCTAATTGTTCGATTTTAAATAGTTTTTCATTTAACAATCTTAAGAATTCATATTGTATTTTTATTCTTTCTTCACCGTCTAGACTTAATTTGAAACCATCTGCGTGATCCAAATTTATTTCACAGTTTTTTACATATTTCTCCCGTGATATACCATAATTATTTATTAACGTCTTACTATAATTCGACAAATTTGTGTCATCTTCATCAGTAAATTTAATCATCCACGATGGAAGAAGACGTCTTAGTGTCTCGAGATACTGACCATATGATAAAAAATTTTTTTCAACTGAATTTGCTAATAATCCATAGACATCAATTTTATCTCTGTTATGATTATGAAAAATACAACCACTTCTAGTTAATGTGCTTAATGAAAATGTATTAAATGGTGTTTGTAATATTGCATGTTGATGTTCAAGGTTACCAATTTCTTTTTGGTGATTATCTGGTTCAGAATAAAATAAATGCAACGCTTGCGGATAAAATATATCATCGTATATACGTACAGCTGCTTTCACTGCAGCTAATGTTATTTTCATTGATTTTTTCGGCGGTTTTGATACTGTTGTTATTCGTACAACCGCTAAGTCTTTAAGGTCAATATTATTTGGATAGCCCATTGACGAATGGGCTATCCATGGGCGATCCAACAAGCCATCATCGATATTACTATCATCATCATTTTTGCTATATAATATTTGAATATTTTCTTTTATTCTCGTCAGCGTCTCTTTTGCTATGGTATGAAACTTCAAATCTTCAATACCATTCAATACTTTTAGTACATTAAACACATTTTGTATCAAAAATTTTATCCGTTCTATCAGATCTGTAGAACGACGTTCTAAAGCTTGTTCACGTTTATTATTATGTGATGGTATACATCGCATTTGTAGTGGAGAACGACTCAAACGTAAACCTTTTAATATAGGTTGCAAATAAGCAATAGTATCTGTTTCATATTCATAAACTCTAAAACCAATTAACATTTGAATTACGAATAATTGCTCTAGTGATAGTAAATTTTCATTTAACAGTAGGGTATTTTCGACAAAATTCAAATTCGAAATACACCAATATAAAATTCTTTCATAAAGTTAAAGACTTAGGATGACCTTACGAGCAAAAAGATCACTGTTCAACTGAGAACATCCCATTCTCAACCTTGCAAAATTAATATCGGTGTTTCGATCATTGTGTGATGGGATAAGGGGAGGGAAGAGGTCATCAGTCTTCGCCAGA